TTCCTTTAGGTCCTTCCTCTCCATCCTCCTCCTGCTCTGCAGTCTCCTTCCTGTCCTGTGTCCTCCCTTCCTTTAGGTCCTTCCTCTCCATCCTCTTCCTGCTCTCTGGTCTCCTTTCTGTCCTGTGTCCTTCCTTCCTTTAGGTCCTTTCTCCTCTGTCCTCCTCCTGCTCTCTGGTCTCCTTCCTGTCCTGTGTCCTCCTGTCTTCTTAGGTTCTTCCTTCTCCTTTCTCCTTCTTTTCTTCTCTCTCCTTCTGTCCTATTGTCTCTCTTCCCCTTGCGTTCTTCCTCCTCCCTTTTAATCCTATTTGTCTGTGTTCTTCTTATCCTATGCCCCTTTTTCTCTGTAAATTTTTTCCCCTTCTCTCCTCTTCCTTTTTTTCTTTCTGGAGAATTTCTTTCAACCAAGTTTTTTCCCCTTATAATAATGTGTCTTTCGTTTTTCTTAGTCTGAAATTAAAGCAAGGCTGTCCTGGAAGGTTTACCCAAGTTTGTCTGGTCTCTTATGGATATCACAACATTCCTTATTTTATTTTTGGTACTGAGGATTGAACACAGGGGTTCTCAACCACTGAGCCACAATGAAGTCCTATTTTGGGTTGTATTTAGAGATAGGTCTCATTGATTGCTTAGGGCCTCGCTAAGTTGCTGAGGCTGGCTTTGAACCTGCGATCCTCCTTTCTCAGCCTCCGGAGCTGCTGAGATTACAGGTGTGTGCCACTGCTCCCAGCTGACAGCAGCACATTCTGTTTTTAACAGAGAGCTCCTGGCTTGTATGCACCACTCTCACTTTCCACCCTAGATCCTGTGATTAATATGGAAATGGCCAACGTCAGCCTAGAGCCAGCCTCTCAAAGCCTCTGCTGAGTGGGGAGGATAGATGGAGCCACTCTGTGGCCATCTACATGGGGCTGAGGCAGGGCAAGTGGAAAGCCCATGGGAAGTGCCCACATGGAAGACGGCAGAGAGCTGGTGGCCAGGGTCCTGCTCTCGAGGGCTAGTGGTATTTGTAGAGAAACTGCCCTGGCACCTTTGCAAGCAAGGTTCATTAAGTGTGGCTTCTGCTTCAGCTTGTTAATTAGTTTTAATTAGGTGTTCACCAGTCCAAAGGATGGAGAGCTTCTAAGCCGATGGAATGCAGGACGGGCTGTGGCTGCAGCTGGCCATGGTGGTGTGTGGGGGGCGCAGATAGCGAGGCCAGGTGCAGCAGGTGAGTGGGTTGCCAGAAGGGGGTGGGCAGTGCCCGTTTGGGCAAGGAGGTTGGTGCTTCTCTGCATACCACAGCACTTTGGTTGTGGGTGGGGTCCTAACAGGGGTCTCCAGTCACCAGCCCCCAGCCCTTGGTCTTCAGCAATGACCTCCGTCTCAGGGCAGGGCTTCATGAGCCCAGGTGCCTGCACCTCATCCCCTCCTAGATCCACGAGGCCGTTTTCATGTCACTATGTGAAGAAAAATGGAAAAGGAAGAGACCAGTCCTGCCCTGCTGCCAGAAGTGAGCCACCGCATCGTGCAGGGGCAGAGCAAAGGTACTTGAGCACTGGGCAGCTGTCTTTGAGGCTCGTGCAGGTGGCCTTGCTCATGAGGAGTGAGTCAGGGGAGGAGGATTGGATACAGAATGCTGCGACTAGGACTCGGCTACCATGACTTTAATTTAGAATCACAGAGATTTCAGATGCTACTCTTTTAATGAGCCACCTTTTCTCCTGGTTCAC